GTGGTGATGACTGCCACATAGGCCTGTCTGTAATATTGGAGCTGAAGTGGAATGAATATGTATGTGAATGAGGGGATGTTGTGGAGAGTTTAGCACAGGAGCATTATTCTCCATGAGTTGGAATGTGGCAACCGGCCAACTTGCCAAAGTCGCTGCTGCTAATGCTACTCTACTGTACAGTACTACGATACAGTGATTAAATCATGGAGATACTGTGGTACTTTTAAGGATGTTAACTGATACTGATAGCTGATAAATATTATATAATATAAAATATATTATATAATTTGTGATGGTCACAGCAGGCTCTCTGTCTGGTATCCCCTGACAATTATATAATATAAAATAATATATTAAAATATAATATGAATGTATTATAACATAATATGACACATTTAATTGTATGTATATATAATTAGATATATGCAGATATTAACCAATACTGATATAATATAATATAATATAATATAATCATTTTTCATTCTTTAGATTAATTATTCCTTTAAATAATTAGTTAGTTAGGGTGCAAATTCATGTTGACTTTGAAGTTTAAAGTTTTTTTACTACTTACTGGTCTGTTTATTATATAATTATTCTTAATGACTTATTAATGAAAGTTGATACAAAATGCTGCCTTTTTAAAATGATCAACAACAAACTTTTCATTAACTGTCCCTGAACAATTATTTTAAAGCAGCTGCTTCAATCTCTGCTTTACAAAAAGTGTAATTCAAACATTTGGCAGTTTAGACACATCGAAATAAAATAATTTGCTCATCCTCTCAGGTTTATGTAGGGTGGCAGGATCAAGGTGCAACTTTAAAACCTTCCTTGTTCATCTTTAACGCTTTCTTCCATGGAGCTTTCACACACTTGTGTACATCAGCCTGAGGCAGAGAAGGACTCGTGTTTGCCAAAGGCTAAACTGCAAAGTGGGGACCTCAAGTTCCTGTTTATTTGCTGTGTCTTTTAAACATCATAATCAGGAATACTTGGATTATGAATTTTTATGTAAATTGTGCATAAGCCGATTACAAGCCAGGCAGTGGCAGCGCAAACATTATTTATTTTATGGACCTTCAATTTTCTGAGCAGATGAGATAAAGGCAGAATAATATTATGTGGGTAATCATCATGCTGCGTTATTATGAAATTATAAAGACGTTTCTCATGTCACACAAGGTAAATGACTCTCTCCCCCTCTCTCTCTCTTAAAACAAATGTCATTCTGTTTCTCGTGAAAATTTGATGTCCACCTATGTGACTCAAATGCATTAAAGTGAAATTTGCTGCATTGTTCAGGGTTTGTTACAGGAGTTAATTTAGTTGAGTTTCTGGTGCAGAGGTTAGCAGATATGTTCCACCCTTTTTCATGGCTGGAAATCCATTTGTGGTCACATGACAAGTTTGTCCAGCAGAAATATTATGTTGCATATGCCCTCATGTAATAGTCTATTACAAGTGGAAAAATTTACAGTTTTCCATATGTTAAATCTAATGTGGAATCATAATAATTCAGGAAAAAGACCAATACTTAAATCACCTTTTGAGGTAGTTCTCCCATCCAGCCACTAGGTGACTTGAATAGTAAAGTAGTTCCAACGCTATCTCACGACCAATTCGTATGTATTTTACGAGGTGGCTAACCTCACTTGTACGATTTTGTACAATATGCGACGGATAGGTTAGGGGCAGGGTTAGGGCTAGGTCAATTCTTACGAATTGGGAAACTCGTCAAATATTTACAATTTAGCAAAAGTCGTATTAATTTATACCCCGTAAAATATGTATGAAATGCCATGAGATTGGGTTGGTAGTTCTGATAAAGCTCATAACAATTAAAGGAATAGTTCACCCAAAAATACTGTTACAATTTAATCACACATGAACGACTTTCTTTTGTCAGCTTAATAAACAAAAAGCACTCATGTCATGTCAAGGCAAAAATGTGACAGACTGTTTCTAATTTAGTAAAGCATATACATTTTTTGAGACTACCTCAATTTTTTTTTTTTTTAAGAAATTAAAACATATTTACCAAGGACGCAATAAATTGGTCACAAGTGACAGTAACGACATTGTTATACAATATTTCTATTTCAAATAAACGCTGTTTTTTTACTTTAAAATTATACTGAAAAGAAAAGTATCATGGTTTCATCAAAAATTGTATCAGCACAACTGCTTTAAATATCGATAACAATAAGAAATGTGTCTTACGCACCAAAGCAGCATGTTAAAATGATTTCTGAAGGATCATGTGAAACTGAAGACTTGGCGAAATGATGCTGAAAATTCAGATTTGCAGACAGACATATAAAATAATTTTAAGATATATTAAAATTAGAAAGTCATTATTTTAAATTGTGATACTATTTCACAATATTACTGTTTTTAATGTGTTTTTGGTGAGCCTTGGTGAGCATGAGACTTTTCAAAAACATGAAAAAATTTAAGATTACCAAACCCAAAATTTTGAGCAGTAGTGTATTGGTGTACAATACAATATGGTATAATTTGCATTTCTCTACAATTCAAATCAAAGTCAAAAACTTTAAGAACTAAATCAAAGCTTCTAATGAAATCATCAATGCATATTCATACAGTACTTTAATCATTTATAGGACTACCCTTTGAAAAACTTTTTCAATATCAAGGTGCTTTAGTTTTAGTGCTTCTACAGCAGCTTGGCTAAATTGGGTACATGGAAAGAGAGAAAATTAATTTCCCTTTTCCTTTTCTCTCCTCTCGCCGGCACTTCACTCCATCAGCTTTCTTTTTATCCTTAAGTCATTTTCCCTTTCTCTTTCTCACTCTGTGAACGTCTGCACTCTCCATCTCCACCTCATTTCCCCACCGCAGCATCAGGAAAAATTCAAGCTCCGAAATGGAGCAACAGTTGTATTGTCACCTAAAGCTTTTTTGTTCCCTTTTTTACCTGATTTATTTTCCTGTTTTCTCTGAATGACAGAGCATGCCTGGGATAACACAGAGTGAAAATCAGCGCAGAGAGACTGTATGCTGAGTGATAGAGCAAACTGGGGGGGAGAGAGAAAGTTTATAAGGCGCGGTTTTGGAGAAATGTAAGAAAGAAGCGAGGGAATCTGTGGTGACCAGCTGCAAGAGAGGAGATAGCAGAGAGAGGCTTTTAATTCCCAATTCCTACAGAGCCTTTGAAAATTACCAATCTTCTTATCACAGACGCAGGGCTGCTTATGCAAATTGTTGTGGAGTGGAACGTTTAAACGGAAAATTACTCGACAGCAGTTTTTTTTTCTGCCTCCTTCTCCCCCCCCCCCCCCCCCCACATG